CAGAGACATGGTTACAGGATGGTCATGACTGGGAGTTAAATATCCAGGGGTATCAAACTGTTCGGAAGGACAGACTGGAAGGTAAGGGAGGTGGTGTTGCTCTGATTTTTAAGGATGATATCAGGGCGGTAGTGAGAGATGATATAGGTTCTACTGAACAAAACGTTGAATCCATTTGGGTGGAAATTCGGAATAGCAGGGAGAAGAAGTCACCAATAGGTTTGGTCTATAGGCCACCAAATAATGACATCGTGGTGGGGCAGGCAATAAACATAGAAATAGCTGATGCATGTAAAAATGGTACAGCAATTATCATGGGAGATTTTAATCTACATATCAATTGGTCAAACCAGGTTGGTCATGGCAGCCTTGAGGAGGGGTTCATAAAATGCATCTGCGATAATTTCCTTGAACAATACGTAATGGAACCTACGAGGGAGCAAGCTATCCTAGATCTAGTCCTGTGTAATGAGACAGGAATAATTAATGATCTCACAGTTAAGGGTCCTCTCGGAAGGAGCGATCACAGTATAGTCGACTTTAAAATACAGATGGAGCGTGAGAAGGTTAAATCCAGTACCTATGTCTTGTGCTTAAACAAAGGAGACTATGAAGGAATGAGGGAGGAGTTAGCTAAGGTAGAATGGGAGCAAAAACATTATAGTGGGTCAATTGAGGAACAGTGGAGGACTTTCAAAATGATTTTTCACAGTGCTCAGCAGAAGTATATTCCAGTGATAAGGAAGAGCTGTAGGAAAAGAGAAAGCCAGCCATGGATGTCTAAGGAAATAAAGGAAAGTATCAGATTGAAAAAAAAACACATACAAAAAAGCAGAGAGTAGTGGGAAACCAGTAGACTGGGAAATCTTTAAAGGCCAACAGAAAGCCACAAAAAAAGTTATAAAGAAAAATAAGACCGATAATGAGTAAACTAGCTCAGAATATGAAAACAGGCAGCAAAAGTTTCTATAAATATGTAAATCGTAAAAGAGTGGCAAAGGTAAACATTGGTCCTTTAGAGGATGAGAAGGCCAATTTAATAACTGGGAATGAGGAAATAGCCGAGACATTAAACAGTTATTTCATGTTGGTCTTCACAGTGGAAGACACAAATAACATGCTGAAGACTAATGGCAAGAAGGTTATAGCAGGTGAGGACCTAGAAACTATCATTATCACTAAGGAGGCAGTGCCGGGCAAGCTAATGGGGCTAAAGGTAGACAAGTCTCCTGGCCCTGATGAAATGCATCCCAGGATACTAAAAGAGGTGATGGGGGAAATAGCAAATGCACTAGTAATTATTTACCAAAATTCACTGGACTCTGGGGTGGTTCCTGCAGATTGGAAAACAACCAATGTGACACCACTGTTTAAAAAAGGAAGTAGACAAAAAGCAGATAACTATAGGCCAGTTAGCTTAACTTCGGTAGTGGGGAAAATGTTTGAATCTATCATTAAGGAAGAAATAGCAAGACATCTGGATATAAATTGTCCCATTGGGAACACCCAGCATGGGTTCATGAAGGGTAGGTCATGTTTAACTAATTTGGTGGAATTCTTTGAGGACATTACTTGCATGGTGGACAAGGGGAACCTGTGGATGTGGTGTGAGATAGTAGGAACTGCAGATGCTGGAGAATCCAAGACAACAAGGTGCAGGGCTGGATGAACACAGCAGGCCAAGCAGCATCATAGGAGCAGAGAGGCTGACGTTTCGGGCCTAGACCCTTCATCAGAAAAGGGGGAGGGGAAGGGGGTTTTGAAATAAATAGGGAGAGAGTGGGAGGCGGATAGAAGAGGGATAGAGGAGAGGATAGGTGGAGAGGAAACAAACAGGTCGAAGAGGCGGGGATGGAGCCAGTAAAGGTGAGTGTAGGTAGGGAGTTAGGAAGGGGATAGGTCAGTCCAGGGAGGACGGACAGGTCAAGGGGGTGGGATGAGGTTGGTCGGTAGGAGATGGAGGTGCGGCTTGAGGTGGGAGGAGGGGATAGGTGGGAGGAAGAACAGGTTAGGGAGGCAGGGACGAGCTGGACAGGTTTTGGGATGCGGTAGGGGGAGGGGAGATTTTGAAACTTGTGAAATCCACATTGATACCATTGGGCTGCAGGGTTCCCAAGCGGAATATGAGTTGCTGTTCCTGCAACCTTCGGGTGGCATCGTTGTGGCACTGCAGGAGGCCCAGGATGGACATGTCATCTGAGGAATGGGAGGGGGAGTTGAAATGGTTCGCGACTGGGAGGTGCAGTTGTTTGTTGCGAACCGAGCGTAGGTGTTCTGCAAAGCGGTCCCCGAGTCTCCGCTTCGTTTCCCCGATGTAGAGGAAGCCACACCGGGTACAGCGGATGCAGTATACCACATTGGCAGATGTGCAGGTGAACATCTGCTTGATGTGGAAAGTCTTCTTGGGGCCTGGGATGGGGGTGAGGGAGGAGGTATGGGGGCAGGTGTAGCACTTCCTGCGGTTGCAGGGAAAAGTGCTGGGTGTGGTGGAGCTGGAGGGGAGTGTGGAGCGGACAAGGGAGTCACGGAGAGAGTTGTCCCTCCGGAAAGCAGATAAGGGTGGGGAGGGAAAGATGTCTTTGGTGGTGGGGTCGGATTGCAGATGGCGGAAGTGTCGGAGGATGATGCGTTGGATCCGGAGGTTGGTGGGGTGGTACGTGAGGACGAGGGGGATTCTTTTTTGGTTCTTATTGCGTGGACGGGGTGTGAGGGATGAGGTGCGGGAGATGTGGGAGACACGGTTGAGGGCGTTCTCGACCACCGAGGAGGGGAAGTTACGGTCCTTGAAAAATGAGGACAACTGAGATGTACGGGAGTGGAATGCCTCATCCTGGGAGCAGATGCGGCGGAGGTGAAGGAATTGGGAGTAGGGGATAGCATTTTTGCAGGAAGGTGGGTGGGAGGAAGAGTATTCTAGGTAGCTGAGGGAGTCGGTGGGCTTGAAATGAATATCGGTTTCCAGGTGGTTGCCCGATATGGAGACAGAGAGGTTCAGGAAGGGGAGAGAGGTGTTAGAGATGGTCCAGGTAAACTTAAGGTTGGGGTGGAAGGTGTTAGTGAAGTGTATGAACTGTTCGAGCTCCTCGTGGGAGCACGAGGCGGCACCGATACAGTCATCAATGTAACGGAGGAAGAGGTGGGGTTTAGGGCCAGTGTAGGTACGGAAGAGGGATTGTTCCACGTAACCTACAAAGAGGCAGGCGTAGCTTGGGCCCATGCGGGTACCCATGGCTACCCCCTTTGTCTGTAGGAAGTGGGAGG